TCACTGGTAGTACTTGCAGTCACTGGCTGTTTTCAGGAACCTCAGCGTTTCGACATTCTTATCATAATATGGAACTGTAAATACGATAATTATTATCGACATTTTATCACCTTTAACTGGTGGTCAATTTTTTTTTTCCCGTCACAAGTCGCGTCCCTTACTTCTTTCTGGCACTAAGTGAATGCTTGTCAGAAACTCTACACGATAAAAAAAAAAAGTTTTTAAAATTTTGGATGATAAAAAATGATAAGTTTGCTAAATACTGAATTAAACAGCTGTTTTCATGAAAACCTCACGCAAAAAATAAAAGATCATGAGAATTATTTACCATTTTTGATTTCCCTCGGTCGGTTTTTCTTCACATAATATGTTTATTATAATTAGTTCGTTTCGGGCACTCGACAAATTTAGGTCATTGCAGTTATTTTAAGTTCAGAGCCACTTTTTCTGATAAAAAACTGAACTGGCATACGCTATGGTACAAATGTTACATATAAACTATAACTTCTTACTAACCGAGCGAAAGGGCCTTACTGAGGAATGTTGGCCCGAGGTCGTGGCTTACAAAAACGACTGAGGGTCGATATTCCCCAGTATGGCTCAAGCAAGAAAAGTTAGTATGTAGTTTATTATATGGCACTGGGACCAACCTGTTTCTTATTTTTGCTTTTTAATCAGCCGGTTTTCGCAGTCAAAAATACCCGGCTTGTGACCGTTTCCGGGGAAAAGGTCTGTATGGCAAAATAAGGACCAAGAGAGAACCAATCAGGACGCTTACATTTACCTCAGGACTACCTTTTCGTAAAACAATTGTTTTTATTTATCAACTTTTCATTTATCGATGTTTCTAAATTACATCTCATCGACTATGACCGGCCTAATAGAGGAAATGGAAATTACATGGTTTCTGGAGCACACTTCTCCTTCAAATCAATCATTTTCTGAGCTTGACAACTATGGCAACAAGCTCTATTTTTAATGCATTGGAAGTCAGTTTTGGATCACTTTGTAAGTGATCAAGTAACAATCCCTGAAGCGTTCTTCATGTGGGTCAGTGTACAGCTCTCGCAGTTCCCTGTTCACAAGTCTCCATTTTCCCGCCTTCTCCAACTCATCAAACTTGGTACAGTAACCATACTTTGGGTCGAAAGAGTCTGCTCGGAGAGTGAAGATGAACAGACCACCTTAAATGAGAAAAAAAGTAATTGAGATGTTGTGTGACTGTGTTACCGCGAGAAAACTTCACGCCAATGCACTTTTTAGGGTAGGCATAGTAACAAAACGGACTGCGCTGCACTGACCTGGTCTTACATGACGTATACACTCATCCAGTGCCACAGGCTTTGCTTGACCATAAACAATGGTACCTCCGCACAGGGTCACATCATATTCAGCGGTCTGTATCTGCTCTATGCGAACATCACTCAAAGGTGCACATATGAGTCGCTTGTAAACATTCTTCTTTTTAGCTTCGTTTAACATATTCTGCGAAATATCTAGGGCATCAATATTTGTATAGCCTTGTTTAACCAGCATCTCACCAATCATACCTGTACCAGCTCCAGCATCAAGGATCTTCATGTTCTTGTCTGCACCAGGGAAGATCTCTTCAGACTGTATGGCTTTGTTGAAAGCTTCCACGCACAATTGTGGTGCTTTATAGCCATGATTTTCAACTAAATCCTGGATAAAATCAATGCATAAAAAAGAAAAGAAACACTTATATCATCATCTTTTTATATGAGGAAACATGCTGCGAGACACATGCGCCCTGATATTTGAGCATTCTATTATTTTCCTAATCCCACGCTCGTTCACACCTGAACTGAGAGACGACATCGTAAGAATAAAATTCAGAACTAAGGTAAAACTGTTACAGTAAACCCTCTCTGACCCTTTAACCCCTAAGAGTGACTGGCGTCTAATTTCTCCTTACAATATCACCCCTGAATCAAACATAAAGGTCATGAGAATAAGCGAAATGATCAACAACTAAACAACTCTTGATTGTTAAACAAATTCTCCTTTTCAGCACCTTATGAAATGTATAGAGAACAGTATGGAGAATATGCATACTGATGTTTAGGGTCAACGTTTCTTCGCCCACGGAAAAGTATGAAACCTTGAGCTACGCAAGCCGGTGAGAAGTCTGCAAAAGGTTTAGCACTCTAACCCCCGGAAAACCTCGCCCCTACTCGTCTAAAATCTTCCCGCGGGCGGAGAAACGCGCGTCCTGCACCGCTAATGACGAGGGTATCCTCGTACGCTGCTTTTGTAGCAATTTCCCAACTGACCACTTCATAATTTTCTGCCCAAGAATCATAAAGTTCTTTTGCTTCCTCTTCGGTAGATGATGGGTTCAGTTCAACAATCCCTCTGTTTGTAACGGGTTTCATTATGAGGATCTAGCTTATAATCAGCGCCTAAAAAAAAAAGGTAGAAATAATAAGATGCAAGAGCCTTGTAACCCTTTGAATCCCAAGATCTGATTGTTAATTCTCCCCTCTAGCAGCGAGACATTTCCCTGTAAATTAATAACGAGATTTTAGTGTTAGATCAAGATAACAACTTCTACCTGTTAAGTTTAAGTATTATCATATGTTAGTTGGATTATGTGTGGAAAGGATTATTATGGTAAGAAGTTACATCTAATGACATCTGGGAACTAAGCCAATTTGTCTCATCTTTCTCATGAGTAAGAACACACCCCCAAACCCTCCCAATAATTCAAACCAGCAGATGTAGGGGTCTTTGTGCAACATTTCCACGGGGGCCGGGGGAGGTCTACGTATACGCATTTGAATACAGTACAGTCTTAATACGTGGACAATGAAACTAAGTTTTCTAAACAGAGAACCTGTGCTACGCCAGACAAGAAAAACCACTGAAAAAAAAAAACACTTCAAATGTGGTTAGAAAAATATGTGGAAACGTATTTCTTATCTAACGCAGCAGCACAATACCCTGAGGAAAAGGTAAACTAACCAGGCTATGCTATTAATCACAAAGGAAAAATCATGATTTTTATGATATTTACAGGAGATAGAGAATAAAAATTACAACACGTACAAAAAAAAAAAGAAAATGGTCAAACATGAGACTGACCGACCTACAATGACTTAATTTTCCCGTGAAACGCTTAAATAATCCGAAACTTTCACGCTGCCACGCGAACCTCTTCAACGTGCCATCTCTTTATTTGCCAAAGCGTATGGCCTAGCAATGATGTCATTTCTCTTCGCTCTGCTGCAGGCCCCAAGTTTCGCCAGTCCACCTTTCTATTAAATTTGGCTCCTGCACTAGGAAAGAGTTCTCTCTTGTTAAATGAAATAATTATTTTCCCCGTTTAATTTCCCTTAACGTCCGCTGGCAGCTCACAAGAGTGTACCTGATGCTAACATAATTCCACGGGAAGGCGTAAAATGTTTGTTAAAGGGGCCATGTCACGTTCTGAGTTGGTGCATTGGGTTCTTCCAGTTTATTTCATATACGAGTCAAATTGTCACCGTATTCGACAAGAAGTAGAGCGTGACGCTTAAAACCGACAATCACAAGTTGTTTTGGTCACGCACTGCACTGAAGACATCAAAAGGCAGATAATTTTTGCTCCGGGCGTTTCCTGTTGGTTTCAATTATAGTAAGGACCTATCTCTCTCGAAAAAGTTAAAAAAAAAAAGAAAAATTGATCAGAACGTTATCGTATTTCTGTCTAGAGCACGAGGCAATGGCAAAAGTTAACTCTTGCATGCGCGGTATGAGAAAATCAACAGAAGAATAAAATACAATTCAAGTCTTTGTTCTACGGGTACTGAAATGTCTCAGAGGGCAAACGCATAAATTAATTTTGATGCATAATTTTACCTTTATCTATAACTCTAAAATCAAACATGGCCGGCCGGATAAACAATCGCGAGCTTGCAAAGTTTATTCGCTCTAATGAGAAGCCTGTAGTGCGGGCATCTTTTGTTCCTAGTACATTCGTGTTATGTCCCTGCGCAACAGCGGTGTATGGCAGCGAACTAAAATTCTCGTTTCTAGAATATTCCTAAATAGTAGCAAAATGGTGTGCTGTATGTCGCCTTTTGTCGCCGACTATATTCTGCAATGCATACTAGCTACAGCAGCGAAGTAAAACTGTAACAAGAACCAACACGCAGCAGTATGCAAATTGGAAATGAATAATTTACGAAATGGAAACCTGTAATTTGCGAAATGGAAATATATCAGGTTGCCGCCTGGAAATCTATCAGATCTGTAATTTGCGATATGGAAATCATTAATTTGGGAAACGAGAATTCCATGCGGAGAATCCTACCGGGCGAAAATCGATCAGTAAGAGCAAAAGTAAACAAAAAAAAAAGTTTACCCGTCTTATTTCCAAACTGGTCCCACGAAAGGCCACTATCTTTGTTAACCACGCAACCCAAGACCTTTCGGTAATACGAGGTGATCATCTCTTGACCTTAGATCGCGGCGAAAAGAAGAACGTGACATTATGACGTCATTAAATATTTAAGACACTGACGTCGGGAGACGGTATAAGCTTTCGGATCCAAATCGATTGAATAAAACGTTTGATTTTGGCTTCTTCTACGCAAAGATCACTTCTGAGACTTTAAGGGTTAATGCAATATTCAGATACATAAAGTTCCACACTGCGGTGTTGCAGTGATCTCGAATCCTTCAGTTTGCGTTGTTAGTGTCCTTTAAGCTCCGGTGTACGCCGAAACAAAATTATTGGCAATTATTTGCGTTACTGTACCATACCCTTAGCGCCCTAAGTGGTCTAATTTTGGCTTGCTTATGGGCGAAAACTATCATCTCGCACTTGCCTTCGCCCGCTTGGAAAAAGCAAAAAATAGTGACTTTTTTTCGCACGCTACTCTTAACGAAAAAAATAGATCTCTTCAATTTCACACACCTTTCTCCAGTTCCCTAATAAATCTCGTCAGGAAAGGGAGAAAAAAAAAAGGACGCATTTGTCATTAACCTCGCGATTTACTACACTTTCTCTTTTAAAAGTAATCAGTCCTAATTTAAACACGTTAAAACAAAGCTCACTCATGCAGTACTGGACTGAAACTGTCCGCCTATTGGGCAGCACTCTCTCAAAGTCTCTTATGAGAAGTACCCTGCCTCCGAGGGAACAGGGACCTCTTTTGCATCGGGGGTGTCTAAAAACCGTAAATAAGGATTCGGCATCAGATTGCACCCTCCTCTGTCTTGTGAAGATCATGAGCTCTTGTTCATAATCTCCTGTTCTATGTCAGCCAGTTGCTTCACACATTGATCCCGTCGTTCTTTAATAGTCGACACAATCTGGTCGTGTTTCTCAGGATATCTAACAAGATCCTCCTGCAAAGAAGAACTTAAGTTGAGGAGCTACTTTGAGGAAAGGTACTTAACGGCGCTTTCTAAATCCAACCTTTGTACAATGGGACCTTTTCATTCAAAGGCAAATAAACTTTGGTCCTAACTGGAGATATGGCCGATATACTGTTACCTGCATCAACAGGAAACCTCTGTCCAGGGGATACTTTTTACATTCAACAATGGAAATTTGACTTACTGGTGCAAATTTATCCTACTCACTTCCCCCGTGTAGCTAAACTGTCATGCCTATGAGATAGAGTTTTTCCTACCTGAAAACTGGCAGCTACTGGGGTAAGACTCCGCGCCTCCTGGGAACTGTGAAGACGAGGGAGAACAAACCAGATCTTAGATATATACGATGTGGTCAGTACTGCAGTGTGCTGTTACTCATCAAGTAACATCGGTTCAAAACATTATCGGTTTCCTTAATTTTGTGCCGCGTGAAAATAAATTTGAAGAAAGTTGTTTCCAGTAAACGTTTAAATCATCCAGAACTGCCCAAAAATTGTCCCCGTCAAACACGAAAAAATCGCTATCCCACCAAACTTTAAGTTAACACGGTACATGACTGAAGGGTTAGGAGTTTAAAATTCAACTTTTTTTTAATTTTTCAGGTGGTAATCAATGTCATTGAATGTTGAAATAGAAAAAAAACCCGAGAATTTGTATGATATGATAATTTTCACTCACAAATCATATCCTTCAACTGTGTTTCTGGCCATGTCTCTCAGGTAATTTATATCATGCTGGTATCGCACTACTATAGAAGAGCCCTTGGGATTTCCGATGCCTAAAATGAAAAACAATAATAATATTAATAATAAAAACAATTTTTTTGTCAACAAGTTTCTTTCGGTCACATATCAACTTATTACTCTGGGGTTTTAATAACACTTTCAATACGCGGCTGCCGACGGTGTAACAGAAAAGGTTGAGGAAGAGGATGTAAGGTTCCTTTTTCCGAAAGGGGGGGGGGAATGGTTCATACCCCCCCCCCCAAAAAAAGAATATATACACATAAATATAGTCTGGAAAATGCAATTTCCAGTATTCTAGGCATCAAAAAGAGCGCTTGAACGCTTAACAGACGGAATTCAAGGTCACAGGAGACCACCTGCAAAATTCAAATTCAAGGTCTCCTGGCCACAGGAGACCACCTGCAATCCCCCCCCCCCCCCCCAATTATTGAAACCCCTACCATTACAGTGCATTTTGATTGAGCCAATCAGAAGAAAGTAAATATCTCAACGAGCCAATGAGAATTCAAAGTAGAAACTAGCAAACTGTGTGAATAAAAAGAGATAAAGCCACACTTGGTTTAAGTTTGCATCTGATCGGTTAAAAAAAAAAAAAAAAAGTGGTGCTTGTTTTTGGACCAATTGCATTGCAAAATAGGGCAAAACCACCATGCCCTACACTCCCTGCTCTTCCACTGTGGATAGTTACCTTGTAACAGCCTTTCAAGATCTTCAATCTCTTGTCTAATAATATCTGCTCTCCGCATTCCCTCAAAAATGCTAAAATATAATTGAAAGAAGCTTATTTATAAAGTGAGAATAAATAGAGGCAAAAACACCTGTAAATTTTATCTTGGTATGAAATCTCCAGTGTATTCCAAACATGGTTACACACATTGCTATTTACCCTTCAACTGCCATGAATAATCAAGACAGAATTTCTTCTTACAATATTAATATGATACCAAGTAGACAAATGATGAGAATAAAGAAAAATATCAGTTGAGAGATTAGTTGATTTGATAGCAAATTCTTGGAACTAAAATCATAAAAATTGTACGGCAGATGATGAGAAGAATCTCTGATGAGATCTTGGAGTTAAAGGGTTGATGTGAAAAATTATGTTCTTCATCCATGTACTTACTCATGTGTAGGGGGACTTGGATCTGTTCTCACAATGTTACTTCTTAAAAAATAACAATAAATATCATGTTATTATGGTTTACAGCCCTTTAGTGATACATAATTCTAACCTTCCTAGTAATTGCTTATCTAGAGTCTGTAAGTCTGAACTTTTAAGTATTTGTTTCTTCAGGCCACTTGACTTTATATATTGGGTGACATGACTAAAAATTTTGGGCTAAATGACCAAAATTTTGGGCAAAATGACTCAACTTCCAGGTGAAATGACTTCCAATGATGAGCCATTTGGCTTGAGTGCAAACATTACCACGGAGCGGGCTAAAATCTATTTTATCAGTCCAGTAGAAAGAACTTCAATTGAAAACACTTCTTAAATCCTAAATATACTTAACTATCATTTGTTAAATTCATTCTATGCAAATATGACAAAACAGTTCACCTGTGTTTGCATCTTGTCTGCTCCTCCTTAGAAAAAAAAATTTAGCAAATGAAAAACTGGTTTGCAACTCTTGATTGTAAAACAATTTCTCCTTGTATCCACTTTAGGAAATGTATAGAGAACAGTGTGGAGAATATACATACTGATGTTAAGGTGTAAAGGGATATTAAAACACTTTTCAAATATTGAACGATACAAATGTTCTCTGTAGCTCAGGGGTCGAGTATCTCACCAGTAGTCAAAAGATAAGGCATGAAATTAGAAGTTGGAAAAAAAAAATTATTATTTTTGTATGACAAAGTTGTATGTCATGAAATATTTTTAATCATACCTCAACAAATGACTGCAGTCTTGGTTTTGGGGGCTTAAATTTCTGTAAACAAATAAAAGATTTAAGGAAACATTGACAGGATATTTATGGCTGCCAGCACCTAAAGTACAAATGACTCACTCACTGCATTACTAAAACTAAGTGAACCAGACAGAACAACCTACATTATAACATAGCAAGTAAATTTTCCTAATCAAATTCAATTGCGCGAGTGTGCATCGTATTCCTATTGTGCATGCTCGTGACATCAGCAAACAAATCACTCAAGAAAAAAATTTTATAAAAATATTGAAAATGTTATAAAACAATTGGTTCATATGTCAGCTGTGTGTTCATCGAGATATGAAGCATTTGGGAAGTTTGGAGAGCACGAAAGATGCATTAGAGTTGCTCAAGGCATAGCCGACAGCAACTCTAGCTTCTTGAGTGTGCTTCATATCTCGATGAACACACACTCACATATGAACCATTGTTCAATGAAACATAATTTACTAATGGAATAACACTAACCAATCACAACTATCTCACACTGAGTCAGTCTTACAGCCAAAAAAATTAGAGCAAAATTGACCAATCACTTTTCATGTACCCTGGTTTCTGGGTCATAAAATGATGAGGAGTATTCCTCCCCTCCCTAGATGGGATGACAATCCATCCCAAGCATCCCCTCTCTACCAAGCATGTGGTCTGGTTCCTGAAAATTCACTGGTACCCATTTATACTCCTGGGTGAAAAGATGCACTGTGAGAGTGAAGTGATTGGCCCAAGAACATAACACATTGACTCAGCCAGGTGACTCAAGGCTGCACTTCTTTAAACAGAGTATAGCATGCCGACCTTTGGGTCACCATGTCTCCTTCAATATCAACACCACATACATGTACTGTACCTTAACTTGTGGTTCTGGAGTAAAAATCAACACATCATCAGGCTGCTGAGCAGGTGGAACAACAGGTAACTTGTCCCACACACACTGCTCTGACTGCATGCATGGCAGGAATACAAAGCTGTGTTTGGGTGTAAGTTGTGTTGGCCTGTCAACAGAACAGGACGAGCTAGATTAGCCCTTTTTTTCATGAAGAAACACCAATTTTGAGCTTTGTAGTCAACTAAACCCTTTACACCCAAAGATCAGTGTGTACATTCTCTACACTTTCCTCTATACATTTCCTAAGGTGCTGACAAGGAGAATTTGTATAACAATCAGTAGATTCTTTGTTTAGAGATCATTTCCTTTATTCTCAAGACCTAAATTTGTGATTGAAGTGTGATATTGTAAGGAGAAATTAGATGCTAGTCAGTTATAGGTCAAAGGGCAAAATATATAGAGAATAATGGTTTAAAGACTGAATCATTAACGAAAAATATTATATCCTACAGTGTCTCTTCTGAATGAAACACTAAGGTCATGAGAATGAAGGAAATGATCACCAACTAAAAATAAAATCTTAACAAATTCCCCTGTCAGTAGCATGGAAAATTTACAAAGACCAGTTTGGAGAATATGCATACTAATGCTGGGCTACAAATGGTTAAGATGGAAATCCCTGAAAAAGTGTTACTTAAAAAACTTAGTCTTTAAAAAGATCCTAGCTTCATGCAAACTGCATGTCTCAAGTTATTAGTATTGTTATTAGGATGTGGTTTGTGGTCTAGTTCAAAATCTTTACAACACAAGAAAAAAGTTTTTGAAACCAGTTTGACTTTTACTTTTGTTAGTTCAAGATCTTCTCTCTTCTTTAAGAACTAAAACAAAGGGGAAAATTAACTGGATCAAAACTTTTAAACCAAGAATTTGAGCCTCGAATTGAACACATTGTACACGTGTCTGGTATTGACAACAAAGCTTGGAATGTTCAATCAAAGGAAACCACACATCAAAAAATAATATGAGTACTCACCAGTTATTTGGCACATCTTCTGTCAGCCACTCTTGTAGAATTGTAAGATTCTTGGGCAAACACCTGTTCACATTAATTGGGACAAAACAAAGTTACTGTCAGTAATAATTCTGGTCTTAACTCTTTGGTCCCTAAGAGTGTTAGCATCTAATCTCTCCTCACAATATTTTCCCTGAGCCAAACTTTAAGGACACAAGAATAGAGGAAATGATCATTAACCAAAGCACCTCTTGATTATTGAACAAATTCTCCTTGTCAGCACCTTAGGAAATGTATAATGAACAGTATGGAGAATATGCCCTCTGATGTTAGGGCAAAAAGGGATTGAGGTAAATCTACAGTTTATGAGGTGTTTGGCTAAAACAAACTTAGAATTCTCTTAACACGTGAAAATCTAACCTGTCTTTGTACACTGAGGGAACAGGAGTAGAATCATGGCTGAGTTCCTCTTTCATTGTAACTGTGCTACTGTCACATTCTTTGTTCATTAAAGGAGCTGGTCTGTTCAGTGCAGCATGTCCAGAAAATGGTCTCCATGGAGGTCGTGATCTGTGCCCTACATTTGTCTTTTCTCCAACCCTTTCTGTAGTTATTCTAGCCTTAGCACTGAATGGACGAGGCTTCATTCCAGCATGAGGTGGCGGCCCTCTAGAGCTGGTAGTGAGCACACCATGTTGGGCTGCAGTAGGCGGTCTTTGGATGCTAACTTGAATAATCAATAATGGCGATAAGACTGATTGGAGTCCAGTTCAGTCAGTAATGATATGAGTCATTAACAAAATTAGACAATGGTTTAGGGGGAGTCTGATTGAGTATGATTACAGACAGAATTGGACTCCATTTAGTCTTGCTACTGACTAATCAAAACTGCAGCAAAATTTGAGAAACTACTGTAGACATTGGTTAGACGTTTTCATAAAAAAAAAAGCTGTTAATTTTGCGAAATGCATGACAACTGAACAGTGTGCACATATGAAGCATACTGTCCTTTTACACAGGCATAACATGATAATTCTCAAATTACACCATCCAATTACAAGCATAATGCATACATTGTCCTGTTGGTGCTCAAACTGGGCTGGTGATAAACAATCACATTCAAGACTTCTGTTATAGTTTTGATTAAACAACGGAAAAAAAAGCAAAATCTCGCATCAGTTTCCATCAGGAGGACACTCCATTTCTTAACCTTTAAGCTCTCAATAGTGACTGGCTTCTAATTTCTCCTTACAGTATCACCCTTGAATCAAATGTAAAGGTCATGAGAATAAAGGAAATGATCACCAATTTCACCCTTTCACTCCCAAGATCTGATCAGTAATTCTCCTTACTATCTGCCATACAATTCTTATGATGT